GATGTAATTGAATAAGGAGAAGCGCAAAGCATTACCCTTAGGAATGAGAAATCAGAATCCCAAATGCAAGCTGGACCAGTCACACTGCTGAAGACAGTGACATACCAGTTTATTTCATCAGGGAATCAAAAGGCAGGTGGGCTGTTACAGTGCTGATTCTGCATCCCTCTGGTTTGGGACTGCACCCTGCTGGGGAGTTCACCTGCAGAAAAAGGGAGATGAAATGAAGAGGTTCTGGAGATGATGAACAGAATTGAGGAGAAGAAGGACCTTACCTCATTCCCAGCCTAGTCAGCTCCAAGGTTCACAACTCTCCTCCACATCAGCCCAAGTGCAGAGTTGCTTTGATGCCATGACATTGTTTGCAATAACAAAACTACCTCTCCCTGCTCCTTGGTTCACCCTCTTTCACCATTTCCTCAAGAGCACAGCTCTGCAGTCTTGGGCATCAGCCAAAGGAGCATCTAAGTATGCTAGGCTGTTCAGAGAATTTGTCATATTCAGCTGGAACTGACCTGGGCACAATGGTGAGGGATGCCGGATGCTATGTACCCCTTTCCAAGCCTGTATTTCCAGGAACAGATCCTTCTGCCTCTCTTTTCCTGATTTATCATCAGCCACTTTCCTATTCTTAGATCAAGATAAAAGGTGACTAAGGATGGAGCAAATAAGATAAGATTAAGGCAAAAAGATTAGTGAGGGCTGAGCTGGTGGAGCTTTGGAAACAAAAATGCAGAAATTTGAAATTGTCACAAAAGATTAAAGAAGTCACAGAAAGGGAGGGAAGGGTTTGTGTATGCAATGATGTCAATAGAGAGAAAGCCTAGCAAATAAAGTGTTATTTCCCAGAAAGCTTGGTTTACCTTGGCCTGAGTCATAACTGCTGTGGAGGCAAACATTAAGCTTTGATCACAGCTGCCATAATCTTCCCCTGACACCCAATAATGAAAGCAACAGAAACAGGCTGAGGCATGGCAGCTGTCTGGCTGAGATGAAATCACATTTGAAAAGGAAAACAAAAAGGCTAAGTCCTGCTGAAAGTGGAAACAAGAGGTGACAGGACAGGGTGTTTTTGAGAAGGTAACTGTCTGGAATGGACTCTGATTTTTCCTTCTGTAGATAATATGAGTGTCAGTGTAGGGATGATGTGCCACCCACTGTCAGCAGAAGCTCTGTTTTGGTGGTTTTCTTTACTGGCAAACAGGTGAAACAGTTCCTTCCCCAAAAATTTTACTTGTTTCTTTCAAGAAAATGCCTGGCAAGTGTTGGAATAAGAGGAAGGTTAATTAGAGGCTGAAAGTTCTGGGGAAAACATCACTTGGTGGCAGAGGCTGACCATATTCAGGAATTCACTGAATGTCATTTCTGGGAAACTGCTGCTCCAAAATTACTTTAAATTGAAGGCTCACAACCCCCTGGGTTAATCTGACAGGATGGCGGTACAGCAACTGCTCCCTGCTTCCCCATCCAGAGACACAAACACAATTCCCGTGTTACATCCGCCACTGTTCTTCCAGCAGTCCTTCCAGCCCTTGGGCTGAGGGCCTTTCTCTTGATCAGTTTTCTTACAAGCCCACTGATGCAATGCACCTCTGTGTCATCTAATCCCAAGAGAGTCCAGCTTTCAACAATTTTCAAATCAAGGAATTTCATCCAATGCTGGTCCAGCCAGGTCACTACATGAGAAAATGGAAATGAGAGCGGTACACAAGTGCCCACATTCCATGGGAGTTTCACTTCATCAGCACTACAAACTGGGGATTTTGTGAAGCACTCAACAATCTGGACCAACAAGTTTGGTGTATATGTAACTCACATAAATTTTCCTTCTGAAGATTATGGTTTTCACAGAGGATCCACTGAGAACAGATTTTGTGAAGTAGAAGAGGGCGAGATAAAATGGGGAGGAGTAGAAAAGGACCAGGATACTCCCAGAATCCATCTGAAACTCTGCTATAGACATTTCTGTGTTGAGGACTGCACAAAGAGAGAATCACACCAGCCTGCAACCTTACACACTCACACAGGGGATTTGGCTTACGGAATAACTGCTTCTAAAGGGACACTTCAAGTTGAATACAGTCCTTCCTGAAGGACTTCCCACTCAATTCTGGCCTTTAAATGGAACATTTCACCTCTGTCAACAAGAATGATTCTTGAGGGGAGGGGTGTTCTTGTTAAGGGATGCACAGAGCTGAATGTAAGAATTCCAATCCTAATTTATCTGAGGCAGAGAAGATTTGTTTCAATGAGAGCATTAAGCATCCTGCAGTTTGATGTTAACTGATAGACTCTTGCTTACTCTTGGCACTTCCTCTTGTAAATGAATCACTGTTACTTCTGCTTCCATGCCCACCCCTCCACTTGGTTTCTTCTTAATTTTACAGCTTCGTAAGCTTGACACTGGGAAATCGATAAGTAATTTAGAGCCCAGTAAATACAGATAAAAAGAGGTTATTTTGTACTTTTATAAATATTTGGAAACCAAAACTATCTAAGAAAACAGCTGCTCAATTGATTCAGCAATCCATCCATCAGCATCACACAGTTAATTGCATTAGATCATAAACATTTATAATTAGAAGGCAAACAAACAAGAATTTTATAAACAGCCCTCTTGAATCAGGCTGCGCATTAAATATTTGTGATAAGGTAATTAAGAATAGATTTACAGTCGTGGCTCGGTGTTTAATACTTTGTAGAATGGATTTGATTCTATGGAGAATGTTCTACAGCCAAAGAGAAAACATTTGATTTTGGCTCTTTTATCCCAGGCTTAGAGTGGTCTCTGAGAAACACTGAGAAACTGATCAGAGTGGAATTTCATTCATTACTGATCAGACAGCTCATTTAAATGTATGTCTAATGTCCCTTGTCATGGGCTGATCCACTTCAGGCATGCTTCAAAGCTCTATCTCCTTGGCTGGATCTGCAGGCTTCCCCTAAGTCCTGCTTTTTATAGTTGATGCTTTGATCAGACCACGTCAGAATTCTCAACCATGTTTCAAAGCAGGAGGGAAAACCCACATTTTCTATGATGACATCACAGGTTTTAGTTATAAAAAGCCAGCAGCACTGCAGGGTTACAGCTGTGCAATCTTAGTGGCCTCTGGGAACCAGAGGGTAGAGCTCTCTCATACTGTAGTGCCTTCCCTGTCCCAAAATAGTCAGATCTGCATACAAGCTATCCAGTGGAGTTACTTCTACAGCCAGTGAGCAGGCTCAGCACCCATTTCAGTGAATGTGAGTCCCCCTGAAGCTAATCTGGGATCAAGTCAGCAGGGCTCCTAATTATGCTTAGAACCATGGAGACTGGAATCTCAATCTGTACTGAAGCAGTGATTTAAACTCTCTAATATCAGATGCTGATCCTAAGAAATCAAGTGGCTGCATCCCATCAGTGAGTAATGGGGAGATCAGCCCTAAGGGTAAGATGACCTTCAGGTATTTTGGGGTCTGATGTGGCACAGTTTGTCTCCAGTAATTATCTGCCATCAGAAACTAGAACTCTCTGGAAAAGGTAGGTGGTGGGTAAAACTGTAGCATTTGATTAATCGGGAAGAGCTGTAAAACATTTTATTCTGTGGTGCCCATCATCTCTCTACACGATGTTGGTCAAGACAGCCCCTTTGTTTAGGCATGAGTTTGATTCTTGTGAGTCTTGTTCATGTATTTTTGCTTGCAAGAGGAAGGAAAGAGAGCTACTCTTCTTAGAAAGGTTTTTGATAATCTCAATCCTGACCCACAATGGTGAATCCTTAATCATTAAGGACAATGAAGCCTTCCTTGTGCTAACTCACCCAGTCCTGCCTGCTGGTCTGGCTTCAGTTACCTGGGACACAAAGGCACTTTCCTAAGAGACAGATGGCTGCAAAGCAGGGACACTCAGACTCCCCTCATTCCACATAAATCCCATTCTCTAGCAAAGCTTGTGAGATACATTACAGTGTGCCAGCTAAACCCATCTACAGGAGATGTTGCAGCTTCCTTCAGCCTCAGTGGAGAAGACTTGTGTTGCAGCTCCTGCCAGACCTAGTGCTTCCACAGGGTCTAGCCAGAGTCTGCAAGTTCAATGATAATAGCAGAGCTTAATACTCAAGTATTGCCATCATCCAAGCAACTAAAATTATTTAGTTCCTTAGTCCTCATGCAAGGGTGGGGAGGATGATGGAGACAGCTGGGAAATGTGATAACTGCTGGGCTGCTGAGGGACCTGAGCTGCTCCTTCTCTTATGGACAGAGAGACCATTACCAGTGCCATATGCTGCAGCCCAGAGCTGTCCTCAGACATCAGTCCTGTGCCTGCAGGTGGGCAGCAGGACACAGGCACTGCCTGCACGCTGTGCACACACTGGGAGCCTCTCTGCCCTTTTTGTTAAGTGTGCTGAGCTCCCCCTCAAAGGAGGGAGTGACGTTTGATGGGGTACCTGCTCTGCAGTTGAGCAAAACTTTGTCTTGGTATAACAAACCACTTACAGGTACAGACAGACCTCTTTTTCTGCTCAGTTGCTGCCTCTGGCCTCCACAGGTGTGTCTGCTGTGCTGCTGTGTGTGGGGAGAGACACGGCGCTGGTGCAGCAGCCGTCACTGACACATCAGCTGCAGTTACACCCCCTCCAAACACAGGCTTGAGTCCAGTGAATCATACCTATGCAGCATGCAAAATTAGCCCAGTGAGAGAGAAACCTTGGGCATTTGTTGGTAAACAGATACTCTTTTGCTGTAAGAGCATAACTCACTGTGCTCCATTTACGATCCATTTATCGATGGCTGAGATAAAACTGTAATCCCTTTAATTCAGAGTAAAGAGGGATCCTGCAGCGGAGGAGCACCAGTGCTCTGCCTGTCAGTAATTAAAATACAGGATTTATCATTGAGAATGCACTGGCTGGAGAGCTGAGCTTAACCAGCTAACTGGGGGGAAATGCTGGGGAAGGTTTATGGCTCTTTCTAAAGTTTTGTTTGTGTTTTATGTTTATTTCTTTCCCCCTTCCCTCCAGGTCTAATAATACACGAAGGGCCCTCGGTTTACCGGATTTTTAAACGGTGGCAGGCGGTCAATCAGCAGTGGAAAGTGCTGAACTATGACAAAACAAAGGACATGGAGGAGCAAAAAACAGGGACCAGGACAAATCAGCGCCCCTCCTCCCAAACCACCCACTCGTCCTCCACTGGTGGTACAGCCACTAACTCCGCTCCAGCCGACAGCGGGGCACGGGCTGCCGGCCATGCCACAGGCACCCTCTCTGACCACCACTGTGCTTATACCATCCTGCATATACTCAGCCACCTGAGGCCTCACGAACAGAGGAGTCAGTCTAGTAGTAACAGAGAGCTCGTCATGAGGGTCACGACGGTCTGAGCAGAGGAATTCAGGAGGCCTTAACACGAAGTGGAGGAGACAAAGAACTCATAAAGCAGAGGAGCATGGTGTGCCTTTTTCTTTCTCTTTCCTTTTCTTTTTTCTTTTTTTCTTTTCTTCTTTCAGTAACTGCACAAGATATAAGAGGCGGCACCTGGCCAGCTAAGGAAAAAAGCAGGTGGAGGGAGAGCTGCACACTCATGCTAAAGAGGTTAATGTTTTCCAGCCTGTTTAAAAAAAAAAAAAAAAAAAAAATAATAAAAAAAAAAAAAAAAAAAAAAAAAAAAAAAGAAAAAAAAAAGAAAAAAATAACAACACAAATCACAAAAAAAACCAACAAAACAAGTGCAATACAGACTACAAACTGAGTAGGCAGAGTTCTGGGGAAGCAGAGGAACAGACGGTTTAGCATGTCTTACAAATCCTATTACCTGGAATAGGTAACGCTCTGTGCACAGCCCCGTACACACACGCACCCGCACACAAACACACACGTAGTGTGAGATTTATAAAAACATGGAAGGGAATGAAATATTTGGAGTAGTTTTATTTTCCAGACTCCAATTAACCAGGGCTATGAGTTGTTTTGTTTCATGAGTCACTGGAGCCTTGTTTGATTTACCGTGGGGTACCTGAAGTGAAATGGCTGGGGATTTTTCCGTATTGATTTACAGAAGATGGATTGAATCATCTCACTAAGAAAATCTTAACAAAATCCAGGCACACCCAAATTTCACCAAGAAGCCTGTTTTTTTCATAATGTTCCTGACAAGGGGTTTGTGAGGGTAGAACTGGGAGGGGGGAGGGTGCTCCATAACCTTTATTTGACGTATAGGCATTTTTGGCAAATTTTGTACAAACGTTCCACAGGTGTTTCAAGCACAAGTACTGGTGTGATTCATGCCTTCATAACCCCAAATCCAGCATCCAGACCTTGCCACCCACACGCATCATTTTCCATGCAGACATTCCAGGTTAATTTCCTTCCATTTTACTCTAATCACAAGAAGCTGACCCACCTTTGGTGGGTTTCTGCTCCCTTGCTGATTCAGACACTCATGCATTAGAGATGTACCTTTTTTTTTTTGATGTCTGTATCTCTGCTGCTCAATTTGCAACAGTCTCACTCAGTCTTGTAGGCTGATCCTTTCACATCCAGTCTGTTAGTTTATTACAGAGTCTATTCCATTCAATCATCCAAAAGAGAGTTAGTCTGAAGAGGGAGCACAGTTGCAGATTGACTGTGTAGCACTTCTAATAAGTCTCCTTCTCTGGGATATATCCTCGGAGGTATCGGTTGCTCTTCAGGAACATTCTCTTTCAATGCACAATGGCTGAATCATTTGTGGATATTAAAGGGACACTGTCAAGTACTTTTTAAATAGTTTTTAGGGTTTGGGCTTTTTTTACTCTTCCATTGTTTGTAATATTCTCTTACAAGCTTGAAAATAAAATTTCTTTCCCTATCGGTTTTGTCCTTTTCCATTTGGGCATGTATGGTTCTCTCCACTCACCCCATTCCTTTCACCATCCGTGTCCTTCTCCTCACCTTTCTTCTGCGACAGGAGGAAATCCATATTTATGATTTCCTGCTGACTGTCCTCATTCTATGGAGGGTATGTCCCAAATCTATGGGGTTGAGTTATTTTGCAGCTGCCACAGAGGAAGCATAAGAGCAGGAACCCTAGAAATACGGAGATTAGCTAGGATTTTGAGGAGCAAATGCTCAGCTGTCACAAAACAATGACCCCATAGTATTCAAGCCTGAACCTAGCTCCCTCCAAAATCAAGATAATGTCTTTAGCCAAACTGCATCCATTTAGCAACAGTGCCAAGCAACGTTGCACGATGGCTGAATGCAGCTGCCCTCCATCATCATAGGAGCACCTCTCACACCTTCTGTGGAGACAGGGCAAACGTGGGCTACCAGCTCCTTTGGCAGCCAGGCTGTCACAGATCAGGTGTTTCTGGACTGGAGAAGGTGGAAACTTCAGCCTCTGTGTTTGAACATGGCAGCCATCCTGCAGCGTTGAGGATGGAGGTTAGCAGCTTAAGGCAAGGTCGTATTTTTCACCTCGATTACTTGACAGTGTCCCTTTAAATATCAGAATATAACGGCACAGGTACTTACTTCTCTGGCAGAGAATGTGGGAGGTGGAACACTGTCCGAGAAAGCCAGCTTACTGAGGACCAGTGTGAAACAGCATGGTTTCTGAGGCCACTGTACCTTTGTCTGACCAGATTTACTATCTACCAAAGAGTGCTTTTGGCAGAGGGGAGAAAAGAGATGGTGGTGGGCAGAGCGAGAGGGAAGGGGCAGTTCCAATCATTTCTGAAAGTAGCTATCCCCCAGAAGGAAGGTGTTGCAGTGAATGATCTCTGGAAGAACTGCTTCAGTAGAGAGAAACCTGGCCAAAGCAAGCAAACACAGCAGCCTCTCACCCCTATGCCTGTTCTGGAAGCTGTCCTCTTTCCAAGAGATGAGTAATTATAGTGTTTTTGGGAAGGGGGAAGCATACACAGATGAAGGGACAGCTGTCACCCATGATGTCGTTTCCCTCCCTGCCCTCCACTAATTTAATATGGAGAAGTCAAATTCCTTTAATTTGGCTAACAGATAAAATGTTACGAGGTCAGAAGCACAACTTGCTGTGAAAGAGTGGTGTACTCTGAGCACACAGGACTCTGCATACTCTCACTCCAGCTCTGCCACTGACTCTGTAGCCTTGGGCTGTTTGGCTCAGTCCCCCCTCCACACAAAGGGGGAATAACAATACGTACCTACCTCACAGGGGTGTTGTGAGAATCCACGTTGGTAAAGCCTGTTGAAGTGCTAAGTCTACCACCGGTAGTGATGAGGTGTGTGGTGGGGGTGAGCAGCGCTGCCCTTTTGCTGGTTACAGTCCGAATCACAGCGGGAGTCCCATCGGCCTTCTCCTGCTTGGAGACCCTCCTCGATCGGAAGCGGAGGCTGTCGCCCGAGTGCCCTCTCCTCCATTGCATGACATTTTAAGCGGCTGTGAGGTGCAGGATAGTGACAGACATGAAGTCCTACTTGACCAGGGATTTGCTACAACGTTTTCTATATCTGTGGGGTTTGTTGGTTTGTTTTTTCCATATATTGTGCTTAGAAATAAACTTTCCACTTAGGGCTGGCGGTTTGGGGTCTATTCTGTTGCATGGCAATGTATACAAGTCTTATTGTCTGTCTTACTGTGCAAATGATCCCGCAGCCCAGTTTCAGAGATGGGCATGGTCTGAGCCTTTTCACAGTGGCATAAGACTCAAAAGCCTGTCTAGACTGTTTAATATTTAAACAACACTATGAACTTGTCAATTGTATGTGTTCTGTGCAATACGAAGCATGTCATTAGCTGGCTTGATGGGCAGAGGGGCTAAAGGAAGGTCAAAACTTGTTCAAAGAGCTTCATACATGTGCCAGCATGGGAGACAAAAGGGCTGCCACCAGCAAAGCAGCTTGGGGGAAGCCATTGGAAACTATTTTCAGAAGAGTTTACTCCAGAACATGGTACTTCTGAGTTTACGAACTTCTAGGCTGCCAGCCTGAGAGAACAAGTGCAAATTTAGTATGGGGGTTGGGGTTTTGAATTCCCTTTTTCTTTCCTGCTCAAAGTTTTGATGGCAGAAATATTGAGGATCTCTTCCTTTCATAGCACAGTTCTCTCATCTCCCACAATCTCCTTGTGCCGTCCCCTTTGTGCTACTATGCAGGACTTTCAAAGGTGCAAATGGAGACAGTACGTTCCCGAGACATGAAAAATAAGTTGAATATTGGGTGATATTAGCAGATAGACTAGATGGGGCAGAGCTATGCTACAGAGGCATCTCTTCTTCCCCATGTCTTTCTTCTAGTCTTGTCTGCTGGGTCCCTGAAGAGATGTTCCCTATACTTTGTTACGAAGCTGTCAGATCACCTTCCACTGACAAACAAAGCTTGCAGAGTTTGGCAGCTGTTTCTCCCAGTGGAGAAAATTCTGGGTCCTATCACTGTTGAGACCCCTCAGTTCTTGGGCTTTGTGGTCCTCCAGCATTGTTTGGGGGTGGTCAGTGTGGAGGACTGTGTTCAGCCATCATCAGAAATCATGTGTGTATGGTTCTGCTCAATCTTGTGATTTCTGCCAGTCCCCTGATTTTCTGTCAGCTTTGACAGGTCGTTCTGGTAATGCTTTTCTGGTTATGCTCTTCAAAGGTGTTTTGCTCTGTGTCAGTTGCCAATGCTGTTCTTGCCTACTGAAACATCAGCGCTGGCCTCCAGCTTCCACAGCTCTTCCATTCTTGCTGTCCTGTCTCTTGGTAAATACTCACTGCCAAGTTCAAACCCTCTTCCCCTGTGCCTGCAAGGGGTCAAGTACATGCACTAACCCAAGGGTCACCAGAGAATACAGGGGATGTTAAGAGTCTGTATCAATAAGTCAAGCTCTGTAACCATCAGTCTTTGATATATATTTACTTTGCCAATCTCACTGCCTGCTGTTAATTGGTTGCTACAAAAAAACTACAAATGCCGGCTAAATCCATATACCCATATACTTTATTTCCAATTTAAAATGTAAAAAACTATGGGCTGTTTTTCTGAAAAATCTGGTATGCTCCCTGTTGTGGTTTCCCAAGCAAGGTGGTGAAGAGGTTCTTGTTTTATCTTCCCATGATGGGATGGGTAACGTAAGGCAAGAGAAAGTCAGCAGCTTAGATTTGAGTCAAGGGAAGTGTTGGCTGTCCTGTTTTCACTCATGGAGACAGGAAAATACTACTCATGCCTGCCAGATCCCTGGCTCTTCTCAAAGCCCTTGATCTGGCAGCAGTAAAACACTAGAGCCAATGGCTGTAGCTGGAGGACCTTTCTGAAGACTTTCTAGTTTGGAATACCATCCTCTGTCCACCTGTAGTGGTCAGTCATTCAAGCATCCTCTCTTTCTTTTCCTTAAGAGAAGATTTTGACTAAGCAAAGAACCAATGCTCTTCAGTGTAGGATGAGGCTGTACCATTAGCACTTCCAACCTGTGGTACATTCACCAGGATTCCTGTCCATCTTCTTGTGAGGATGCATGGTCAGAAGAACTGCTCCTTCTTCTCTTTTATGTTGGTCAAGCACTTGGAGGAAAACAGCAGTTGAATTGCCTTAGGGACTACTGACTGAGTATCCCGATCTCCCCTCCACCATCACCTCCCCTGTGACTGCTCCTTCTCATTCCTGAGGCAACAGATGC